TAAGAAAGTATAATAGCAGTATGAGCATGATGGATATCAAAGTCATACCTCATCAAATATGTCAGTAACATCGGACGCCCTTATCGATCTACTTCTATCTTTTTTTAAACTGATCAAACGATCCCTTCTCTCAGTAAGAGCTTCAAGAATCGGTTTTTCTCTATCTGGTACGTTGTTAGGCATATTTTGAGTAGATTAAATCCTAAAGTTGATGAGATTTGAGGATATGTAAGATGACTAATTACTAAATTTTCGTGTTGATGAGATTTGAAGATAACATTTGAATTTTCGTGGCGTTCTCGGGCAAATCGGCAATTAAATTACTATTAATATTTTTTAAGGCCCAGAGTTTAAAGTCGAAGCAGCGTAGCGCAGGGGAAGCGCGCGGGGCTCATAACCCCGAGGTCGAAGGATCGAAACCTTCCGCTGCTAAATGACCTTTTTTACTATAGCAAACCTTTTAAGCTATTGCATAATAGACAATGTTACACGAACAAATTCGCCGGTGGGGCTAAGAAGGTACTTTTTACTCTGTCACCAATTGGCAGTGATGTGTGGAGGATGTCCTTTTACACAAAAATATTGACGGACAGACAACGTGGGTGAACTTCGATGAAAAAGGAAATAGTTGTTCGGTCTGTTACATACCGGAAATGTGTAACATGCCGGATAAATGATTATTATTGTTATTATAGTGCATTATTATATTGTCAACGAACCACGTGATGGAATTTTCTGACCTATCATAAAAGCTCTTTATGCCGTTATTCCCGTGAAGGCGCATACCAGATCCCGAGAATGGGAAAGAGCAAGTTGAGAATAGCTTATCAAACCGTTATGCTCGGAATTTTGCTTTTCGCGTATTTTTATTAATGAACCAGACTCCAACACAAAACGACTCGGAAGGGTCAGAGTACAATTCAGACCACGAGAATATAGAGAACAACGGTAATTACAATGGACAACGGTCGTCGTCGGTTTTTATAACGTACCCTTTTGTGAATGCCGAACCTGTCAACAGACAGTCGGCGAACGTAGATCGGGAAAAGGCTGAAACTGATAATACCACCCCATCATTTCCACAACCTTATCTGCCATTCTCAACCGAGCAACCCATTCCTGCTTACTATTCGGACACATTTAATTCATATAGAGCTGACGCGAACCCGACCGACAATTTGCAAGGTTCGGGCACCGGACATCCTGTGACAGATTCGCAGTATGAAAAATGGTCACCACCTCCAGTGTACGGTGGCATAGAAAGTGAAAGTGGAAGTGGCGTTGGAACAGGGTCCGTAAGAAAACCTGCAATCGTTGGAAACGCGACAAAAGTCGGACCAAATGATCCGTCAGATGACACTGTTATTGAAATTGGAGATGAAAATACTTACAGGCCACGTAAAGTTTTTCAGACGGACAGTCAGATCCGTATGGGTAAGTTTATGAAAGTATTTTGTGAAGAACAGCAGAGGTACCCAGAAATTGGCACGAATATTCCGATCCCGGACTGGGGAATTTTGTTAATTTGGTCAGTGGTTATACTCGTATTGAGCTATGGTTGCTTTATCAGCTTTTGTACGAAAGGTATACTTTCTTCTTGCCGCACAATTGGCTGTAACGGTTGCGATATCCGTATGGTTTATGAAACACGAAGCAGTCCATAATTTTGTGAAAACCCAGTTGAGTATCAAAGCGGGATAACATGGTGACGTTGATTTGGTCGTATATAACCTATGAAAATTTACTCCAAAATTAATAGTTTATGGATATTTTATGTATCCTGGGCAATTTCTTTGATCGTGCTCCTATTTTTGATTTGGAAGAGAAAGAGCTTCCCATTGAATATTATTTTGTTGACTTTATTCACGTTAACACTGTCGTATGGAGTAGGAACGATAGGTAAGTCGTACATATCGTTTGTATCACCTCCGATCAAGTTTTTTATTATTTTATGTTATTATTATACAGTTTCCGCGTACAGTGGAAAAGTTGTTTTGCAAGCATTCTTAATTACACTCGGCGTCTTTGCTGCTCTTGTGCTATTCACTCTTCAGTCAAAGATCAACTTCTCTTCATGGGGCCCATATTTGTATGCCGGCCTATGGGTGGTAATACTCACTGGCATTGTTGGATGGTTATTTCCCTTTGATAGGGGATACCACATTGCCATTGCTGGATTCTCAGCCCTGCTATTTTGTGGTTATATAATTTATG